GTGGGGTGGGGGTGGGGGTGGGGGTGGGCGTAGGAAGCCCACCCAGTGAGGATCACTTCTCCTAGATTTCCACAGAGGGATCTTTCCTAGATCTCTCAAAACTTAGTCCCCTAGTATAGGGGACAGCTCTTTGCCAGAGTCACAGGCAAATCAAATCAGAAGGGATCAGCCACTCTGAGCGATTTTATGTAACTTCTGCAATTGTTTGACTAGGTGACTGCCTTCCCTTCAAGACTGAGATGTCAGTGACTGTGGAGTCATCATTTTTATGCTCTCAATACTCAGCACGGAGCTGAGTGAACGAGTGAATGAATCAAGCTTTACAGTATACAGAGTTCTGCTATGTCGACTGTGGCTACTGTGTCATCTGCTGTGGCTCAGCTTTCCTGCTCTCACCTGCTGGGCTGGCCTTTCCTCCTCCAATACCTCTGTCTCCACGGAACCGCCCCGAATCTCTGTGTGCCTAAATCCAGACCCCTTCTGCTGCAGAGGGGTCAAGCCAGTGACGGGGAAGGGCTCTGGACCCAGTATCCTCACGCCCTTCAGTTGAGTCCTCTGCCAGTGAAGTAAAGCTATGCCTGCCAGGGAATCATCCTGCAGAACCCTGACAGCTAAGAGGCATGGGCACAGGAACCCAGAAGAAAGAGGGCTCTTACGAAGTGCCTGTTGGCATTTCCCAGAATTTGCAAGTTCCAACACTGCGCTACTCTGGTGTCCACGGATACTCCATACTGTACGTCCTTTCAATATCAGGAGGGATATTGAATATGGGGGGGGAACCCACAGACCTGAAAGGCGTGGGCGTTAGTGGACATAGGTCCGAGGTCTCTGGCTGTTGACAAGAGCTCAGGGCCCACTGGCACCTTAGACAGGTGGCCTACAACAGCCATAACAGCTCCAGACTACCCATCACTCAGGAACCCAACAGCAAGGCAGCAAGATGATGATGCAAGCATGGGAGTCAGGTGGGGGAGGCTGCCTGAAAATGGGAATCCCCGGCCCTCGAAAAGGCGAGCAGCAAGCCTTGAGCTGATTCCAAATCCGAGGAGAGCTCGCTACACCGTGGAATCACTCCTCGGATCCCCCAGCAGCAAGTGTCAGCTGGGCCTGGCCTGCCCCCACCCATTCGGATTGATAAACAGGGCGATAATGGCAGTGAGGGCCCTCCTCTCCAGGGGAGGTGGGCCACTCTCGCAGGGTTAGGGGGGAGACGGAACCGAACCAGGCTTTTTGGAGGGTCCCGGGTGAGCGCACGCAACGAGAGGCTCCTCCGGGGGAGGAGGAGATGGCGAGGGTGGCCCGGGAAGGACTTCCTCCCGGGTCCCAGGGCATGCCGACGTCCAGGCCCCTGAGAGCCCCGCCGCCAGCGCCAGGAGCCCCGGCCGGGGAGGGTGACAGCTGCGGAGCGGGGCCCCCACAGCCGCCGAAAGCAGGTTCCGCCCGGATGGGACGCCCCGCGCCGGCGGCCCCGCCGCGGCCGACTCGAGCCGCTCGGCCCGCGGAGTTGTCCCCGCGCCCCCCGCTCGGCCGGGCCGCGCCCCCGCGCCTACCTGTACCGCGGCTGGCTCCTCCTCGCTGGCGCTGCCCCAGCCGGGGCTCAGGTACCGAGCCGGGTCCCCCGCGCCGCGCGCCTCGGTCCCCTCCTCCTCGTCCTCCGGCTCCTCCACGTCCTCGGCCTCCTGGATGGCGACGCGGATCTGCACCGCCGGGCTCAGGCCCGGGCAGCCTCCTCGCCCGCCTGGGCCATGGCTCGCGGACCAGCCGGGAATGCAGCGCCGCCGGTCCCCGCGCCGCAAGGCCGAGCCAGCCGGGCGGCGGCGACTGCGGCGAGGGGCCGGGGGCGCTGCGAGCACGCCCGGGAGGGGACGGGGTTCGCGGCGCCCCGCCCCGCGGCGCCGCCGCCGCTCCGGCCGCCAAGCCGCGCGCCAGAGCGGGCGGGGCTGCGACTGGGGAGGGCGACTTCCTCCGCTGTCCCCGCGCAGCGCACGTCCCAGAAAGATGCGCTGGACCCCGGCTCCTCCAGCGAGCGCCCGCTGCTCCCTCCTCCCACGCGTCGGGGCCCCGGACGGGGGAGACGGGAGGGCGCAGCGCCTCTGACTTGTCAGCGTGGGGATGACTTCTGGGGGTGGCAGGCACGGACAGCACCTTAAGGGGCTTCTGTGCCTCCCGGTGTCTCCCCCACCGACCGACATCGCCACCATTAGTCCCCTTGCTACAACCACCCTGGACTGTGCGCCCTGTGAGGTCACACACTTGGTTCCTGCCGTGCCCTATACCACTGGTTCTCAAAGTGTGGTCCTCAGACCTGCAGCCCCAGCCTCACCAGAGACCTTGTCAGAAACGCACCTGCTCGGGCCCAATCAGGTCTCCCGAATCAGGATCTACGATTCTGAACTTCGTGTTGTAACAAGCCTTCCAAGTACCGCCAAAGTTCACTGAAGTTTGAAAGCCACTGCCCTGTAGTGCTTCTTAGAATATACCCTGCATATAATAAGCACTCAAATACTGTTGAACAAATAAAGGGAGCTATTGAAATGCCAGTATGTTCGAAAAGCCTGTTCACATTCAGCTGTGAATGAGTTCCATAGCAACCCTGCAAATGTGACCCAGAAACTAGGGACAGAAGCATCGACATAAATACACTCTGAATGTGCTTTCATGAAGCTCTTAATTTACCTTCTTAAACATAATTTATTATATTAATTTGCCAAACTAGGGCTCCGAAAGAACAGACCCCTGGACCAATACGTTTTGATAAGGGGAAGCAGATCAGAGAGGCTCAAGAAATGGGATCTCTTGGAAGGCACTCTCCTTGTAAAGGAACACCATGCACTGGGCCCTTGGTATGGGCTGGGAGACCCGGGGGGCCAGGGGACAGCCTGTGGGGGGGGGGGGGTGGCAAGGACAGCCCGTCTCTGTAAGGTTTGACTAGAATCTGCATCCCTTTCTTTGTCAGATCTCTCTTCTGATTGAAGGGGCCATAGAGTGAGTTAAGGGAAGGAAGAGAGAGACCCTTGGTGTCCGTCCCAGGATGGCTTAGAGCCTGTGTCTGAGCTATGGGGAGGGAAGAGACAAGAAGTGGAGAGGATCTGTTCTGAGCTAGCAGCGCCTCCTGTCAAGACTGTAAAGCTTATAGAGCCTCTGTATACCTGGTCCACTCTCATCAGGATCAGGAGAAGATTTGCAGCCCTCTCCACACTTCCTGTTTTGATAACCTTAGTTCCTGATTTTCACAAACCAATACACATCAGTTCATTTAAACCCTCCTGTGTGGTGAAGACAGCAAGGATTATTATCCTTACCCACAATAATGGCTCATATGTGTACCAGGTTCTACAGTGTATGATGAACTCATTCATACCTATCTCAGAGCTCCCGATTGTCAGAGCCTAAGAGTCCCCTGGGGAATGTTCTGAAAACACGGACTCCTAGGCTCCTATAATTTTAACAACTGGAAGCTGGTGGGTGAATCTGGTCTGCAGAAGTGTTTTATTTGGTTGGGGTTGAGAAAAAAATAAATGGCATCAATACGCCCTTAGGTTCAAATATATCTGCCTATGCTGTCTCTGATATTATTTATTTCTGACTCCTCAGAAAAGAATTCTGAATCCAGAAGGGATGTCAGACATCATCCAGCCTTGAACTCCTCCTTTTAGGGAATGGGTACCCCCAAGTGTACAAACCTTTCTGCCAGGGCTCCACTGAGAGAAGAACCATATACCACACACACACACACACACACACACACACACACACACACACCCCTTGGAATATATCACGAATTGAATGCAAAACTTGCATAGGACTTTTAAAGCAACTTCACATAATTTTCTCATATGTAGTAGCTGGCTTAGCATGATGCCTGGGGGAGGGAAAGACAGACACCCCCATCCGCATTAGGGATAGTGCTTCACGGGAGGAGTCCAACTCAGTCACTATTCAGATGAGGATAGTGAGTTCTAATGAAGCTCATGGGTATTTATTATATGCTTAAGCAAATGATTCAATGAGTAAATTTATTAATGAGAGAAGGACCTCTTCCATTCTATTACGGCACCTGTTCTGTCCAGCAGAAAGCCCTGCATCTAGAAATGTTTGTTGATTTGATTTGACTTGTCCTAACCACACACCCATCATTTGTGCCACTGGTGAAGGAATTTTTTAGGTGCCCTTCTCATTTCTAGCTCCTTCCTTTCACAGAGCTGTGGCCAGGAGATGAGGCCAGCCCCACCCAGGCCTGTGTTGAATATCACTGCGGGGAGTTTGCATCAGCATCGAGATGATTAACGAAGTCTCCTTCAGCAAAATCGTGACCTCAGCCTGGAGTTGGTATCCTTCCCTTTCCCTGGAATCCCGAGGGCTCATTTTTATAATAAACTTAAAATGGGAAACAGTTTCTCCCCCCACAGCTTCTGAAGATGAAACAAAAGGAAATATATTAATGAGTCATCAGGACGGACTGAGATTAGGTTGAAGGAAAAATACAACCTCAGGAGATCTTGCCAGTATACGAAAGATTGTTGTTTGAGAATCAATTGGAAATATTTTTTTTTAGCGCCCCTGGCACTAGAATTGCAAACCAAGGACTTAGAATAAGATGTTAATTTGGAGAAATTAGGAGTGGGCTAAGTATTGATGGTGAAAGCTGGTAGTATGAGGGTGGGGGTTCAGCAGAGGGTCTGGTTTTAACTGTAGGGGAAGGAGGGTGGTTTATTTAGTCATTTACTCATTTGTTTAAGCGTGTAACAAACACCAGGCCCTATGCTCGCCTTAAGTTTGTAAAATGACTAAGACATGATCCATGGATACCAGGAGAGGAGGGAGCCTGGAAAAGACGTCCTTCAATAATAGAATGTGTCTACGGGCAATAAATGCCACAGCAGAAGTCTGTACAAAGAGGCACAGCCGGTGAAAAGGTTACCGAGGATGCCTTGAAGCTTAGAGTAAAGCAGTGCCCACATAAGCGATAGAGTGTGGTGGAAAAAGCACTCACTCTGGTACCAAATAGACCTGGATTCCGACACCAGCCTTGCCACATGTTAGCTACACAACCTCTCTGCTCTTCAGTGTTCATACCTGTAAAATGGTCCGAATGATCCTTACCTCATTGAGTCGGGTCTGTAGGTCAAAGCAGATTGTGGAAGACGTCTAGCACAGCCCCTGGTCCGGATTGGACCTCAGTATCTACTTGTATACACTGTGATGTGGTTCTAGGTACCTCCAGACCAGGAAAATCTTAGCCTGAATGGGGAACACAGCATTCAAGTTGTTGACATGTATCTATCTCCGTTGTCAGTTAAGTAATCGGTATTTTTCTGGCCAATACACCAAACTCTTATAAGCTGAGGTAGCCTTTCAGAGCCAACTTAATTCTGAATACCCTGACAAAACAGAGGACCTCTCTGGGCAGGAAAGCAGCATCTTCTACAGTCCATGTCTAGCTTCAATCAGAACTAAGATACCCATCCATAGGCATGAGGTGTTCGATGAGACTTGTCCATCAACATACATGGTCCCTTGCTTAATACACTCGATCCCCAGTTGTAGATGGATACAGAGCCACCCAATTAGAGATTACATTTCCCAGCATGCATTGTGCATCATTATAACCATGCAACTAAATTCTGGCCAATAAGATATTTTGTCCTACTTCTGGGTTGTGTTTCTAAAAATGCAGATGTGCTTCTCTGGCCTTTTCCATCTACCTCTTAGCTGGAGCAGCCATGGAAGATCTGGGCATAAAAAGACAGGAGGCAAGTAACTAGCACATGTTAAAGGTGACAGAATCAACAACCAGACCTTGGACTTGTTCGGTGGAGCATAATCTGGACCATCATTTGGAAAAAAAAAGAAAAGAAAAGAAAAGAAAAGAAAAGAAAAGAAAAGAAAAGAAAAGAAAAGAAAAGAAAAGAAACACATACCCTGTTTAATCCTGTATTCTGAGATATTTTTGTTACAGTAGCTTAGTCTATATCCTCACTAATACCCGAGGATTTATTAAGATTGAATGAGATAACACATGAAATTACCTAGTTCAGGATGCAGGACATAGCAGCCACTCAATAAATTAGTGCTGAGTTTGAATTTGAAAAATTTGACAGCTCAGTAATATTTATTGCATGACAAAAGTGTACAGATGATGTGGTGAGAATGATGTAGAATTCAAAAAGGAATAGAATAGGGTCCCCCTTTCTAGGAGCTCATATTCTATTTTTTGTTTTTTGAGGGAGAGAGAGAGAGAGAGAATCCCAAGCAGGCTCCGTGTTGTCAGCGCAGAGCCCGACTGGGGGCTCGATCTCATGACCCTGGGATCATGATGTGAGCCGAAACCAAGAGCTAGATGCTCAACTGACTGCACCAACCAGGCACCTCTAGGAGTTCATATTCTAACAGGAGAATTGACTTCTTTCCTCTTTCTTCTCATCCTCTTGTGAGAGTCCCATCACCTGCATTGTTAGTGGAAGTCCAGCCGTTGCCACAAGTGGGGAGAACAGTGGGGGCTTCCAAAAGGCTGTCAGCTACTGTCTCCCCACTCCCCTAGGTTTGAGGTTCTCCCCGCAAAAGCAACAACCTCTCAAGTTTGGGTCCCACCATTTAAAAATAACACCTGGCTGTTATGACATCGTTTTCTTTGCGGTATATTATCAAATTGGGTTGGCACCTACTTCAGAGAGAGTATTGAAGTTTTGCCTGCCACGTATGCCTTGTGGAGAATTAGCCTGTCAAGCTGAGGGTGCGTACGCAACA